AGTTCCGGAAGGCGGGCGTTCCGTGCGCGTTCCGGCCGGCTGGCCGGCGCGCCGTGGGCGCCACAATCATGGCCCGGCGCGTGGGACCGATCGCATGGGATGGCGTTTACAGGCGACCATTTGTGGGCGTCCGAGTGAGCCGAGCGGCCACGGCCCGGCGCCGGTGCAGGCCGGGTCGCCGCCCTGCCCGCTCCACAGGCCGCCCTGGCTGACATGACGAGCACGGTAGGCGGGACCGGTATGGGTTTATACGCGGCGGCGCGCATACCCAATTAAACTGATTGGAGTCGTCGGCCACGTAAACCAACATTTTTGCCGGGTTCACCGGGCGTGACATCGTAAATTGCCAGGCAGCTCGGATCCCTGCGGTCGATTCACCGGTGGTGGGCCAACGACAGTAGGCCCAGACGGCGGGATGGTGCAGCACACAGCAGCGGCTAATCACAAGGAACTTGGGCGGAAGACGGCGGCCGCTACCGGGACGGAAGGACGACAGACGAGGGAATTGGGAGCTGGAAACTAATTTCAATCAGGTGATCGACCAGAAATCCAGTAGGTACTCAGTCGGACAGTGATGCTTGTCATGTGTTCGAGAGACACTCCTTCGAACTTTCAATAGCAAATGTTTGATCGGGGTGACCATTGTCCACTGCGACCCAGAAGGTAGCATTCAAAGTAAACCAGCTGCAGGGTGATACAGATCACAGAGCACGGGTTTAAAGACATTCATCACTCCCAAAACACATTAGTGTGCCACGTCTTCCTGCGATTATATGCTCTTCTCCGTGTATACCAGCAGCCACCGCCGCAACAGAGCGTCTCAAGGGAGGGAGGTCTTGCGGCTTGTTCGGTAACGCAGCAGTGGTGCTGAAACCAAACCTTTGTGGTGTGAAAGGCAAATATGTGGCCTGTAGGAGGACAAAGTCCAGGGACAACGCAGATACGGAGCGGGGATACCGTGATATGGTCATGGAACAAATAAATGCATGTCAATGGTGTTAGTTCCGCAACGATATCCTGCTGCTGAAAACAATCTACCCAATGAATCTGGTTTATTTAATAATTCGGTTACATTTTATTTGCAGTCAGGAAAATGAGATGTTCAGACATGCGGAACATCGGATTTTTAACATAGCATGCGGTTATGTATTTGTAATTATCGCCGATGCCTCCCATGTTCCACACTCGAAACTATGTCAAAAATCACGTCCTGACGTCAGCGACGATAAAATACCAGCAATGTCTGCCGATCACCAGGCATGCTAATGTTGCTCACTGGCAGCACTGTGGTGATGTAAAAACCTCTACAGACTGGCCTCAGGTAGGCGTCCGCGCCTCTCCGTCCCCTGTGTCACTCTGGCCCGCTCCTCCCCCGTCCCTGTCCAGTCTGTCTTAACCTTCCAGGCGGTGGGGGGGGGGGCAATTTTTTGCCCCCCCTTTAGTTTTTTCGATATATCTCGAGAACCGCTGCGCCGATCGTCACCAAACTTTCAGTACCCTCCCGGGAGCAGCTAGCGCACATGGTGACCAAAAATTTTTCCAATGGCTATGATAGGTTGGCCGCTAATGACGTCAGAGTGACGTCATTTTTGCCATTTTCGACCCAAAAAAAGGTTTCGCGGGAAGAGCTGTCAGGCCTACAGCTTTAGAGATACATAAAAATGTTTCAGACATAAAAGGTGTGGAATCAAAAGGGCTACAAAACTGCTATTTCGGTTTTTCGATTTTTTTTTGGATTTTGACCCCCAAAAATCAAAAAATAGATTTTTCGAATATAATAGCCATAAAATCCAAAAAGTTTTTGGAATTTCGAAAAAACCGGAATATATGTGATAGTCCCTACCGCCTTCTATCTACATACCAAATTTGAGATCGATACCTCTTTTTTTGGCCAAGTTATAGCGAAAAAACTGTTCAAAATTGATGACGTCAAATTTTCAAACTCAATTTTTAGCAATTCTAGACCTCTTAGCGCAAAACAAAGACCACCATTAGACTCCCCGTGACGAGCTGCATCAAATCGATACCCATTTTATGCAAAAATATCAACTTTGAAATTTGACCTTTTTTGACCTGACCTTGACCTGACCTCCACCAGAAAGTGACCTTAACCGTACCTGATGGTCTTATAACCAACACCATTGAGTTGGAAATGAAAAACTGGCCATAAAACATGCATCGCATAACCTTAGTAAAGTTGGGCTCATGTGGTGACCCTTGGTGACCTTTGGTGACCTGACCTGTGACCTGACCTGGTATGACCGGTGACCTCTAATAGCAACATATGTACTAGACAACTGACGCCTCATCGCTGATTTTCGACAAAATGCGTTTTACTCGGTGTTATAGCGCTTTCCCTAGAAGCCCCGTGAACGGTGAAACATTTTGTCTTTGACCTGACCTGTGACGTCATCGGTGACCCCGAGGTCAATGAAATTTGGTTTCCTTCGACAAATTTGACAGGGCTATCGAACGCCGTTTGAATTTTCCGGATCCGTCCAGTAGTTTCGGAGATACGGGGGGGGGGCAAAAAAATGCCCCCCCCCCCACCGCGCGGAAGGTGGCTGGTAGGCCCACCGCCTGCCGGGTTAAAAGTACCGCGCAAAGTGACGGTGGATTCATCAAGCCTGACCGATGAAGGACTGCCAAATTTGAGTCACCGAAGCAATGGACATCCTCGTCCATTCTCCAGCTCCATTGGTTCGGTGACTTTCAAATTATAGCAGGCCCTTCCTCGGTCAGGCTTGATGGATCCACCGTCACTTTGCGCGGTACTTTTAAGACAGACTGTCCACTGCGCTGGACGGTGCACCCAGCCCGGCCCGGCCCAGAGGTGCGCCGAATGCCCCATTCATCAGCACTGCCGGCCAGGTCGGCTGGCCGGCGGCCGGTGATAATCGAGCGTTTTTGTGGCGCTGGCCGGCCGCCGTATTTGTTTATAGACCGGCGGGGGTGATTTACTCGCCGATGGTCGCTAATGCAGCCCTGATATTAATTAGTCTGATTAATACTGGCCCCCCGCGCGATACCGGGCATCGGAGAGAGCGAAGGAGAGGTGAACAATGAAGAAAGAGGTACAGAAAGCAGGAGAGAAGAGAGATAAATGACGGGAAGGGGAAGCAATGAATGCAGTTCGGAGAGACAGAGGATGGAGAGAAGAAACAAGAGAGAAGAGAGGGCATGGAAAGAGGAAGACAAAAATGGGGACGCATAAAGAGCAGGGGGTGAAAAATGGTGATAACAGGCATTCGAATGGTGGATTTTATCAAAACCTAGGTTACATAATGCATAAAAGGGCGTTTCTGAACGTTTTAGAAATGGCCAAGTTAAGCTGCAACAGTGCATGAAGAGTCCGGCAATGTACATAGGGTCCTTGTTGGTTTATTAAATTATATTTCAACGTCCTCAAACTACTGTGGTCATTTTGCACCCATTACATTGCATAAATAAAGCGGTCACATGGATAGTCAGTGGGTACGGGACACATCAAACCAATCTGATGAAGCTGGCTGAGAATTTCACACATGGGTACGACCGCGCCCGCTCGCAGGTGCACGCCCGGCTTGATCAAGTGGCCGGCCGGACCGGCATGTAGCACGGTCTGGGAACACCATCGGGTTATGGTCGCCGTCCTGTTTCACTTTTTGATTACGGTTCAATGCCACCGCGCGGCAAATTATGCATGGCAGCCGCGGTAAATGCATCTCGCATGAAGGCGTCCTAATCAGATCCAGCGGAACTGCTTCCATGAGCAGCGTTGTGAAATTAAATCCCATAGTTTTAACTAGAGCTTCCCAGCACACGCAACGGCAGGCTGAATTTGGAATGGAAAGCAGATGCACATGGGAGTAAGGTCCTATCTACTATCCAACAAAATTTTAAATTTACGTGGTTTGGCTGACAAGGACATGTGGAAGGTATCGGGCACACCCAAACCAGTCAGCACGCGGGATTAAGTACAACGGAGAGTGGGCTATAGTAGGTGCTTCAACTGGTTGAATGCTGCATTTCTTTTGTCAGGGTGCTCAGTATTTTCTGTGGACAATACTGAAAGGCAAACAAAACCGATCCCAACAAACACAAAGGCCGTACAGTTCAGATGTGGCATGCAGTTGCAGATGCAGTGATGATCTAAATGAGCTCAATTTATGCACGGATTAACTAAGCTGGTAGCCAAAACGTCGAGCGGGCGGCCGCATCCCGCAGTCAAGTTTCATCGGAATTCGTCTGTCTGGTAAAGTTCCCACCGATCATCCCATCAGCTTCACGTCTCACAATCAACAGTCTAATGACAGGCTTCATAACTCCCCACTCCTTTCGACGCCAGGAGGAAATTGAAAGAGGCTAAGTAGTAATTTGAAGCCGCTGCCAGATTCACGGCGAGCGAAATGGTCCGATTCGGACGGGCCGGAAATTGGCAATAGCAGCAGAGCGGCACCGCGTTCGGCAATAGACTCACTCGGCACCTGACTTCCTCGAAGTTATGCCTCACATCTTCGCCACGGCCACAGGAGCGTGGAAATGAGCGGCGCGCCGGCGGGCCATCCGTAATCCGGCCGACAATGGAGCGGCGCAGGAAGTGTGCAGCGTCAACCATGACCAACTTTCGCGACCCTTCTGTCCGCGCCGGGCGGGCCGATCTCACTGGGTGATGCGCTCGCGCGCACCGCATTGTCGCAGAGTCGGTAGGGGGCCGTCCGGGCGGGACCGACGCGCTCGTCTGCTCGATAGGACGCTCAGGTGCCCTCGAGACGAGAAACGGGCGCTGGGGCTGCATTGGAACTCAGTGGTCCTTTCTCTTTAGCAGAGAGTCGGTCCCAAACTCCCAAGTCGTTACAACGTTCGGCAAGCTCGACCGGAGCGTGGCACCTGAAGTCTCGAGATAATTACATAGACCGTGAGCCTGCTCCTCACACGAGCAATGTGTCTAACATCAAACTAGAGAGAAAACAGGAAACAGACGAACAGTGTTCGGGAGGCGAGACACGCTCCCAACTTACCTTGGCTTTTGACATCCTTCAGCTCTTCATTGTAGTCTTTGAGTGTGTCTCTGAGCTGGTTGTTCTCGATCTGTAGATCAGCCAGCTTCGATAGCTTATGCTGAGCCGTCTGGCTGTATTCCAAAGCCGCGGTAACATCTGAAAAAGAAAAGGAAAAGAATCAACATTAAATGTACAATGTACGTGTGTACATGTGCCCTGGAATGGTAAGATCATCTTCGTTTCAGACAATGAACAAAAACAGTGGGTACTTGGGGCAATGTTGTTAGTAGCAGGAATATTAATTGAATAGTAAATACGACTTTTATCGAAATCTTCCTGGAGGCTGTTTATATACCTCGCTATGCAATCAGTAGGTAGGTACACCGAAATCAATCTAACCCTACAAGCCAGAAGTGGTTTCTACATTCTGCGATAAGGTTTATAGCCTTGACTGTCTTTAGTCTAATGGATCGCGGCAACACCGCCATATTTAATTACTGGCCTGAAAACCAAGATAAAAGCGATATAACGATAACTCACTGGCGGTACTGCAGTAAATGTGACAGTCTGCTTTTGGCGTGATTGGCATGCGCAGCCGTCGGGCAAATCGTGCATTACCGGAGTTAAATTTCACGACACGATAAAGTCTTGAAATCATTGCTTAATGTAACGAAAAGGTTAAACACAGGCAGTAATTCCTATGTATTTCATGGTTGCAGAGCACTTCACGGAAATCACGTCGTAACTAAGAGCGGCTGCCGTCTGGCGCCGGTCTCAATGTGTTTTACTATGGCACCATCTTAATTCGGGCGACGTAAGGTCGGTGTCGATCGCTGCTTATAGGGGGAGAGGGGGCACCCCTCCCACCCGCCCCGCCCACCGACATGGCACCGCCACACCGAGCGGGCACAGCGCATTGCAGAATCATTATGTAGGCGGCAGGTCCGCGGGAACCCATTTCACGCCCCGCTTCGTATATTAGAATCAAAGAATCCAATTTCGCTGTTAACTGCGGCAGATTAGAAAACAGGCCGACAGGCACAGACCCTGCCGGCAGCGGCACGTTTCCATTTTCCACCAGATTGTGGGGAGAATGTTCCCAACAACTAATGCAGAAATTTCCCAGTAACGATAACAACGTTGTTGAACAGTTACAAATACGTGCAGCAAACATCGCGGTTGCAAAAGGCTGATAGCCAAAGCCCCAAGACCGCTGAAATAAAAACAGGTCGACGGTAGAGACTGGCGAAATTCAGGTGGTAAAAGAAAATAAGCAGTAAGTTCTTATAGTTCACGCTATCAATTTCAAAAAGTATTCATTGGAATGCAGACCCGTACAATACCCTGTAAGATGAAACCATATTTCAAGCGTCTCCACCGAAACTTTCTCGGTCAGCGCGGCGCGGTCGCTTTTCAATTTCCATTCATTTCCACCTATTAACGAGTGCCGTTCTTTCAGGCCGTGCGGCAGAAGGCGGCGCCTATTTAATATGCATGGATTTCGGGCTCTGGCGCTGGCACGCTGATGAAAGAGCGCTAATTGAGCCGCTCCAAAGTCGGTGCAACAATTAAGACTGCGCCGGCCGGCTGGCTGCGACGTGCCCGGAAGACGGCCGCCGGGCGCCTGTCGCCAGAACGCGACAGGCGCCGGTACTCTATAGACGGTCAGATACGTGAACTATAGACGGCCAGAGAGACGCAGCTATGGAAATGACACTCTCATAGACGACCAGAGAGACGCAGCTAAGGGAACCTCTATAGACGGTTAGAGAGACGCAGCTACGGAAACAGCACTGTTATAGACGGTCAGAGACGGGAGTGGCGTGCCCAGCGCTCCAAACGGCCAAGAACGGGATTGGGGGGCGGGAGTACACATACCTACTCGTATACATGGTCAGAAAAGAAACGGGGAGCTCTTGACCGTCGTGGACGGGGCTGGTGGACTCTTTATGGCCAGAAAGGCGGAACTGGGAACCAATGGAGTGTCGATGGATACGTGGACGGCCAAAGAGATGACACTGGGGGGAGCGGGGGAGGCATCACAGCGGACACCTCGAAACACTTCGCAGGTAGCGGGACAGCGGAACATTTCTACGGGCCGTTCATCGGCATCAGTACCGTTCAGCGACACCAAACAAAGCGCCCGAGTTCCACCCTCACTGGGCACGGCCGCCCTTACACCGTACGACGGTGGGGCGGCGGCGGCTCCGTCTGCCCCGCGAACCGTGTCACCGGGGGCTCCTCCCTGTCTCAGACGGGTCCAGACAATCGGAGGGCGGACCGACCTGCGCAACGGGCCACAATCGGTCCGGCCCGGGACCCAGCCGGCGACCCGAGACGGGCAAGCCGAGCGGCGGAGCGACCAACGACCGGATCATTCATGAGTTCGAGGAGCTGCGCCGCCACTGAAAATGGCCGCACCGCACACACCGGCCGCATCCGAAATGAAATGGCACGCCGAGTGATTCGCAGAACAATGTATCGTTGTATGCACGGTACTCCGGTATAGACTGTGGAGGGGTTGTTAATGATGGCACTGCCGCCAGGAAGAGCCACTATTGGACTTCCTGTTGACGCTATCAGTACCACTGTTGGCGTTAGGTGGTAGGCTTTTTGTCGGGTGATTATGATGTCGATAATGTTTTGTGCTGGTAAAAGAATATAATGATGGCGTTTGAACCCTCACGTACTAAACAGACACCAGGCTGTCTGCAGCCACCTGCCCATTATTCCACATCGTCTGAGCTTCCTGGGGACAAAGCTTCACTCGTAGAGCCGGCATACCTAAAAAGTATTAAATATTCCTTCCCAAATGATCCTCAATGCTATCAGGGGCCAATCTCTATAAATACAGAAGTATGTGTACCAGGATATTGACAATTTTGATTCGAACACATCGCAATCGTTCCACGTCAAGCCCAAACAGAATCGCGCCCACCCATCCTCTGCTGGCTATTCAGACCCTGGTGCTCGGGCCGGGGTAAGACTCCGTGTGCCCCCCCCCCTTCCCTGAGTGGCGTCTCCCACCGACCCGGGCCGTGCTGGCGATCCCTTTTCGGCGGCGGCCGACCATCGGCGCCGATCCATCTCCCCGCGGCCGTGGTCTCTTTCTCCGCAGACAACGGCGGCCGCGGCTCCCTCAATACAGCCCGCCGGCGGCGGAGAGCCGATACCTCACACGGCCGGCGCGTCTGTAATCGCGGCGCCGCCGTACCGTCCCAGATTGATCGGCGATACGGGCACCGAGGCGCGATCGGCGGCGCGAGACGTGCCTCCGGTCCGCGCGAGACGCGCCTCCGGTCCGCGCGAGGCCAATGATTAGCGGTAGACGGACGAGCGGCGAGCGCCCGGCACCGGGCCGCCGCGCGCTGGTCTTGGCTGACCTGACCTGACGAACTGGCCCCAGGCCGCCGCGCGCTGGGCTGACCTGACCTGGTGGATCGACTTGGGGCCGATGCTGGGCTGACCTGACCAGTCAGATCGGCCTCGAGCGCCGCCGGACCGACCTGACCCAGTGCAGCGGCCTGTTCTAACCCATATGCCACCACGCTGACCAGACTGGGCTGCATTCAAGCAGTGAGGATCTTACAGTCAGTCCTAATATCTGAACGGGTTAGAAACTAACCGCATTTTGACGCAAAAAGTTGGTTTCTAAAAATGTTCTTAAAACAACACTGATTTTCTGAAGAATATTTAGCTTCGTATTCTGCGGCACTTTTGGATTTCACAGCGACCCTGACGACAAGCATATTGCAGAAGAACGACAGAGAACACATGAAGTTATCAAACACCAAAGCTAAGTTCTCCACAGGAAGTGTGACTCAGAAGTCTGCTCCAGAAATTCTCGTGTCTTTAGCCATCGCATATTCATGAGGTAAACTTCAGCCCGGTTCGCACTCTTCGTCTGCTACTAACGTGAGAAGCCGGTCACGCCTGAGATCATCTTAAAGGCATACAAGCAAATTTAGGTGGCAGATGCAGCGAATATTTATATCACGAAAGACATCTTGAATTTGTATCATAAATCTAGGCAGGATCAACGCCCGAAGCTACAGCAAACAGTGTCGTATTCGTTTTTACCGTTTTCATCTCCCGTCCTTGCCTCACCACCTCTCGTGCACTGAACATATCTTCTCACACCTCTGCCGCCCCTATACTTATGTCTCTTTACCTCTCATGTTTCTCTGTGTCTCCATCGTCCGTCCGTCCGTCTTCATGTCTCTACCCTGTCCTTCTACCCCGTCCATTCCCTGTCTCCGTGTCTCTACTCTCTATCGTTCTTCTTCGGCCCTGTGTCTCTCCGTGTCTCTGACGCCCATCACCCTGTCCGTGTTTCTCCATGTCTCTTTCGTTGGCATCTCAGCACGTCTCTCTGCCCTTCCCGTTCGTCTCCTGTCCTCTATCTTTCTGCGTCTCCGTCGTCCGTCTCCTGCGTCTCTCCCGTGTTTCTACCATCCGTCTCCCGTGCTTCCACCGCCCGTTTCCCAGCCCGTGTTTCTCTGTCCGTGCCGCCCGTCTCGTGTGTTTCCGTGTCTCTACCGCCCGTGTCTATCTGTCTCGGTCGCCCGGCCCGTGTCTCTCCGTCTCCGTCTCGGTCTCCCGTCTCCTGTGTCTCGGGTGCGCGGTGGGCGCGCCGCTCCGATCCGGCCGCTCCGTCACTGTCGCACGACCACCGTCGGCCAACGCCCGACACGACCGGCGCCCATTCGTCAACCCAAATATTCAATCTTTTTTATCATCCCTTCTGATTTGCATTCATATTTGAGGAGGCAATATTTCAGGCCGGCGACGCCAGCGAGTGCATCGAATCCCGGATCGGCGCGGTCGAGCCGCCCCACTCCCCGCTCCCCGGCTCGCCGCTCTGCTAGGCTCTCATTCTGCTCTCTCCGAAACACCGTCACAATGGGCATTTACCAATTCACGTCCCTGGTTATCTCTCCTCTCCTAACTTGTCCTTTTAGTTCTGTTTGGAGCCGTTTTCTGCGCCCCTTCTAGCCGACCGAACAAGCAGCTGTTTATTTGTCCTGACTGACTGTATTATCACTCCTTCCCACTACCCAAGTCACTTCAGCATGGGACACCGAGTGGGCTTCCCACTCCGCCCTCTGTCCCTACTCCCATCGGCCGCAGCTGTCCCTCTCACCGCTGTTG